GCGTTTTCTTTCCAATCTTGTCTATACTTGCTGACTTGGCTATCCATAGGGTTGACCTCAGCGCTGCCTGGAGTGGCGTCACCATGGTGCCCTATATAGGGCCCTGCTGACCCGCCCCCTCCTCAGTCCCCTCTTACCACCAGTGACAGGAGCCAGAGCTTCGCTTCCCCTCGCTCTTCGCTTGCCTTGCAGGCAGGTAAGCGTTTTCTTTCCAATCTTGTCTATACTTGCTGACTTGTAGAGGAAAAGTAAGATGGAAGAGGAGCTCAGCGACTCAAAGGCAGGCCAGCGAGCCCAGATAGGCCCAGGTTAAAGTTCCACGGGGGTCCATACCTGCAAGTAAAGCCTCTCAGGAAAATGGTTGAGAAAAGACCATCTGGCCCTGGATCAGCTAGTGGAACCTAGAGGGGCCCGCCAGGGGCACTCTGATGGAAAAATGCGCTAAACGATGGTTTCTGAGCTGCAGTAAGTAGTCCAAGATGAATTGCACTGACAAACGTGAGGGGGAAATACTCCACTCAGATGTGCAGTGGAAAAACCTCATCCATTTAGCCAGGTAAGTTAACCTTGTGGATGGCTTCCTCTTTCCCCAGAGGACCTGCAGGACCTCCTCCAAGCAGGTGCTCTACTTCTGGTTCAACCACAGAGCATCCTCGCTGAGAGAGGAAGAGACTTGAGGCTGGGTTGCAGGAGCAGACTATGATCCTATGACCCATAACGAGCATGTGGAACCATTGTTGGCGAGGCCGTGCAAGGGCAATCACGACACCATGCATTTGGTCCCTTTTGCTCTTTACTAGGACCCTGCTGATGAGAGGGATCAGAGGGAATGCCTGGCCAGCACAGGAGAGGGAGTCTTTGCTTAGGCCCTGCTGAGAACAAAACCAATGGCACTTTTGGGATTGTTGGTGGACAGATCCAAGTGGGAGTTCCTCCCCTCGGGAAGATGGCATAGGCCACCGTCAGGTAACGACCACTCGGGGTGAGAGGAGAAGTCTCTGCCGAGGTGAGCACCAGGGCATTCCTCACACCAGCAATGTGACGGCTTCCAGATGTCTGTTGTGGCTGATAGAGATGCCAGAATTAGAGAACCGAGGAATACACTCTCCCCGCTGCCTGGGGGTGTGGAACATCGAGGGTGTGTTTTCTGTCGGGACTTTCACCACCTGCATACAGGGAGGCAGGCAGACTCCGCAGGCAACCAGCCCCACTGATCTCTCAGACGTGTGTGCACAATGTCATCTCCTTCAGGAGCCACATCCCCAGGGTCTGGAGACCTCCAAGGTTTGCTCCCTGCCCGAGGCCTCTGACACTAACTCGCGCAGGTTTCCAATGGGGCCCGAGACCTTGCCAGGTGACAGCGACTCTCCAAAAGGACTTCTTCCAGGACATTCTTGCTCTCATTCCTGCACTGTAGCAAGGGAGTGGTTGTGACGGTCTCCACGTGGTCCCTGAACTGGGAATAGGTCGATGACAGACGCTGTTGCAGGGGCCACATGCAGAGCCTGGCATGGCAGACCACATATGTGCATGCTGCCATGTGGCCAGCAGACAGCCAGGGCATGCCTGCACTGTTAGGGGAAACGCAGAGACTTCCATGATGAGGTCCATTGGGGCCTACAACTCGAACCTCGGGAAAGGAAGAAATGGGGCCTTTTCATCATTCACGAGCAGGTCAAAGGGCCTGCAGCACTGCAACATCCCTCTGCAGTTGGGATCAAGATCAGCCCTTTAGGAGCTAGTCATCAAAGTGCGAGCATACCGGACCCTTTGGCAGCTCAGATAAGTGGCTTCCTCTAACAGTCACTTGGAGAACTCTCTTGGTGCTGTCGCCCAGCCAAACTGGAGTTGACAGGGCTCACTGACTCATAGGAAACACCTGTGGCCTGGGAAGATTGCTTTGTGGAAGTATGCACCCTTCAAGCTGCGGACGGCATACCAGTCTCCTGATCCAGGCAGGGAAAGCCGATGGCTAGGCAGAGCATGCAGAACTCCAACTTCTGAAAATATGTGCTGATGCCTTGCAGGTCCACAATGGGCCACAGCCAGGCCTTGGCCTTTGGAATTAAATCGTACGAGGAACAGAACTTGCTTATGGGGAGTGGGCGATCTTCCCCTCAAGTTTCTTAGGCTTCTTGGATGGAGCTGGGAAGGGGGCTTGGCACTGGCTTGGCAGCGTCAAAGGGGCATTCGGCACCGATGCCACAGTGCTTGGGCCAAGCTGGATTTCTGCTGCAGTGCCGGAGTCAATGCCGACTCCATGAGGAATGCCTCGAGACGGCGTCTCGCCCCCTCTTTGTCCAGGGTTTGAACGGCTCACAAATGCAACGCTTGTCGCTGAAATGTCCTTCACCCAGGCGGCTCAAACAGCGACTGTGAGGATCGCTGATGGGCACTGGGTGCTTACAGCAACCGCATGGTTTGAAACTTGGAGGAGATTGGATCATGCACCATCCTGAGGCAAACCCTGTCCAGGACTAACTAATCCTAACAGAACACTACCCAGGGCCGGCCCAAGCCATTCACGTGCCCCAGGAGCGTGTGACGCATGTGCGGTCCCGCCCCTGCCCAGCCCAGCAGCCCCGAACGGCGCCCCCTACCATGGGGTGTCCCGGGCGGTAGCCCGGCTGGCCTGTAGCTTGGGCCGGCTCTGACACTACCAAGGGAAATCTCTTCACCACGTAACAGGAAAAGTTTGTCAAACTGAATGACACGAACAGGTAGCACGGGGCAGCAGAGTGTCCCTACCCCCCCACTAGCAGCAAGGAGGACTGTGGGTGGGAGAGTGGACAGTGCCTGTTTTCACTGCACCACGAGGGCGCCAGTGCAGCTCCCCTGCAGATACTGCTGGCTTGGGTGCCTGTGGTAAGCCCACCCCTAACGTGGAATGGACACAAGCAATCGAAGAGGAGTCTCCTTCCCTTCGCCTCTCCCCCTACTGCTTCGCAGAGCCTGCAGGAGCAGCACAGTGTAACTGACAACATCCAGCCAAGCACCCGAAAACCATCAGGCAGCAGCAACACTGAGGAGCCTGGGAGTCAGGAGGCCCACGCTTTGTTCTGAGCTCTGGAAGGCAGTGAGTGGAGGACAGGAGGCGGCGCAGGTCTGAATCCATTGCTCGGCACCAAGTACGGTCACTATGAGGCTATCCTGATCTGTGACACTTTACATTGATGGAAGACACCATCAGGCCTTTGAAGACAGGAGTTCTGCATTCTGTTCCTAGCTCTAAGGGAAGGGTAGAGTGCCTGGTGCTTTGCTTTAGTCCCTCCTGCTGAGCACATGACAAGGAA